TCTCTCTCTCTCTCTCTCTCTCTCTCTCTCTCTCTCTCTCTCTCTCCCTCCTCTCTCTCTCCCTCGCCTTCTCCTCCCCCCACCTCTTTCTCTCTCTCTCTCGCTCTCTCTCGCTCTCTCTCGCTCTCCCTCTCTCGGTTTCTCACCTCTGCGAGGTACCTGGGGTTACCTGACGTCTGCGACGACGATGACGCTGACGACGACGCTGACGATGTATCGTTCGCGGCGAAACACGTAGAAATAAATACACGTGCGCGCACGCACGCGGACACACACTAGAGCTGCTTGCTGCCGGTGAGAGATGCCGCCGCCGCTGCCGCCGCTGCTGCTGCTGCTGCTGCTGCCCGCCTGCCTGACTGCCCGCCCGTCTCACCGCATCTCTGCCGCAAGTAGCTTATTGGCCTCTCCGGCGAACAGCTGTGCTTGCTGGAAATTCAGCAAATTAGAGCTAAATACACACTCGCGAGGCAATATGCAATCACCAGCTGTCCACATGCACGCCGATCCGCGCTGACGCACGCTGGCGGTCGCAGCACGCGCGGCGACGCTGCAGCGCTGGGAGCGGGGATTGAGCTGCTGCTGCTTCTGCTGCTGATGTTGTTGCTGCTGCTGCTGACGACGATGACGACGACGACGATGATGATCATGCCTACCATGATGATAATGATGCTGCTGATGATGATGATGACGATGCTGCTGCTGATGATGATGATGACGTCGATGACGATGCTGCTGCGGAGGATGATGAGGATGACGATGATGATGATGCTACGTGGGCTTCACGCGGAGGCAGGAGATTGCAGAGATTGTAACTGAACACGGACAAGCTGGCTGAATGCGTGTCACGTCTGCGTACACAATATCTACTACACGGAAGATCGTGTAGGTGAATATATAAACACACACACACACACGCGCGCGCGCACGCACGCACGCACACATACACACACGCGCGCGCACGCACGCACACATACACACACACACAGATAATATATATATATATATATATCATGAGCTAATAATACCTAGCTAATAATATTATTANCCCTCTTTCTCCCTCTCCCTCGCCTGCCCATCCTCCTCTCTCTCTGCTCCCTTCTGCCACGCGCGCGCTCACGCTCTCATTTATCACTGCCATGCGTTGATACATAATACGCTCAGGTGCGGCGAGCCTACCCCGAGTGTTTGTAATCCACCTTACCTCTTAATGCTCCTCTATCTCCTCTCTCCACCTTCTCCTCATCTTCCAACTCCCCCTCCTCCTCTTCCACTTTCTCCCCCTCTTCCTCCACCTTCTCCCCCTCCTCCTCCTTCTCCTCCTTCTCCCCTCCTCCTCCTCCTCCTCCTCCTCC